AAAGAAACTAATGTGTGCTGACCCCAGCAAAACAATTCTTGGTTTACACTGTCACGCAATCCTGACGCAACAAAAAAATTATTCCCGAAAACCACTTAGTGGATAAGTCAAGAAATTGTGATGTTATAGGAGATTAATAAAGATGACACTACTCTAATTTTTAAGTCTGTGCGTTTTCCCAAACCTCCGATATTCGTCGAAATATTTTGCACAAATTTACAGAGCTCAGTTTGGAGCCGCCATGTTGGTGTACCTACGCAGTATACCAACATTGCGCCGGAAAATAGTGTAAACATCTGGAACTTACTTTGGCTATCTAGGCGACTAATTAACTGTGCTGAACAAACAAGCATTTACATAATACTTTAACTTCCTAATACTTTAACTGCTGAATGGGCTATAAATCACGAGATAAGTATACGTTTTTCGACAAACGCGTTCTTAGCTCTATGCCACGCACCGTCATAACTCTGATATTCAAAATGTCTCTATTGCTTGAGAAACGCAAAACANATGTTGGTGTACCTCCGCAGTATACCAACATTGCGGCCGGAAAATAGTGTAAACATCTGGAACTTACTTTGGCTATCTAGGCGACTGATTAACTGTACTGAACAAACAAGCATTTACATAGTACTTCAACTTCCTAATACTTTAACCGCTGAATGGGCTATAAATCACGAGATAAGTATACGTTTTTCGACAAGCGCGTTCGTAGCTCTATGCCACGCACCGTCATAACTCTGATATTCAAAATGTCTCTATTGCTTGAGAAACGCAAAACAAAAACAACGACAACGACAAAGGCTAAGGAAAATAGACTGAAACGTTTGTAGGCTGATATAAAGACCTTGCTCATTTCACGTCCTAAAGGCCTGCAAAGGAGTGATAAGCTATTAATCGATTTCAAGAAATGCAATCAAAGGCAGAATAGTTTGAGCACATCGATTCGATTGCATTTCGTGCGACTTCAAATGCAGAACATTTAGCTCAATTGCAATATAGCTAGTGCTTCTCGGTATAACGACTGCCTGGGTACACGCAGCAAAGCGTCTAGTTTTTTGGGGGTTAACTGCATTTTTTATCAGTGATAGAGACAACTTCCTGTGGACAGAGCTCAGCAAATTTTAGAGCTCGGATAGTTAACGGTCAAGTTTCCCAAAGAGGATGGTGGCCTTGGCAGATTGCAATATACAAAGGTAAATAGCCATTTTTTTTTTCTTACCTGGCCCATGAATCGTGAAGGAGGGTGAGGGATTGGAGGGAAAGAAATCATCCTAGCTGAATATATAATATATATAATATTTGTTTACCCTCATTTTCTCTTGGCAATGTTTATAGCACAAGGGCTAGAGGGGCCGAGCAAACAACTGAAACAAATAATTCAAATTGAACATAACATTTTAAGAATGCCAACTGGCCGGAGGCAAACCAGCTGGCTATTTACAAGCGAGACCGAGGATTTGAACTCGGGGCTACCGAGAAACAAATCCAGGTAGTGGTCAGAGCGGGACTCGAACCAGGGACCGCTGGATTGCGAGCCCGACACGCTGAGTACTCGGCCACGCTGTCTCCTAGGACTTGGATGAACTTTACAGACCTCTTACCTTTGTGAAATAAGTGAGAGGATGACAATAATTATATATGAATCTTTGATACATCCACCTCCCTCTTTCCTTTTTTGTTTCTTTTATCTTTTTTCAGTCCCTAACTTTCGTTGCGGTGGTGCCCTTATATCTCGTCACTGGGTACTGACAGCAGCTCACTGTTTCTATCATGGTGGATCTTTTATGAGTAACACAGATCTGTAAGTGTTTATTTTTGCAGCATTTGGTCAGGTGATCGATAGTTTCTAAATCTTTAGCTATTTCACACCAGTGCCATGTAAGGTTGAGATTTAATGACGACTCAGTTGAATATTGCAAAAATTAGAAGGTTTTGTACGGAAGCGAGGAACCTTTGCCCTCCAGAAACCTTTTCCGTTATTAATCACCACGAAATGAAGTTGCCGGCATATAACTATGAGAGATATAACGAGGGGTTAAATATTAGAAAAAATGGAAAATTCCAGAATTTTAAACCGAAAGACGAAGATTTTAACGCCCTTTGAAAACTTGCCTCTTCCCTTGCAAATCCTGCTAATTTTTTTAACACATCCATAAGAATTTCCTCTTTTCGAGGATATAAACCTAAAAATTTGCATTTCAGCTCATTTAAATGTTCTTTACATTTCTGATAACATTATGCATCACCAGTGACAAACGGAGCACCATAACCATAGGAGTAGAACCTTCGGGCCGCCGAAGCCGCTATTATTTATGGTAAAGCAACTGTAATAATTTCCCTTTAAGTATAGCACTATGGCTGTTAATTAAAATAATAGTAGTTCTAAACTGGCATTACAACTATCCAATACTGTAGAAATAACTGCAAACCACAAAGCGCACATGAGCTATGCATGGGCACATATTGCTCATATTAACTAGTAAACACTTTTGATACTGTTATGTTTTTCAGTTACCAAATTAAAGCTGGTGATCACAACCTGTCTGTTAATGAAACTTCCCAACAGGATATTTCTCCGGAACAGATTTTTGTGCACCCAAGATTTAAACAGAAGGGTTCGCCGCATTTTGATGGTGATTTAGCTCTTGTCAAACTTAGCCAGGATGTGGAACTTGGTGACTTTGTTCGAACAGTATGTCTCCCAGAAAGGAGTGAAGGAGATCTGGCAATTCCTAACGAAAGAGGTACAGTGGCAGGATGGGGAGTGACAAGACCGTTAAAACGTGATGAGCGAGGGAGCCTTAATGACGTGTCGAAGGTTCTTCGTCATGCCACCTTCACAATTAGAAGCGACCAGCTTTGCATAAATAAATCGATAATTCAATTCAACTCAACGACAGCATTTTGCGCTGGGGACGGAAGAAACGATAGCGACTCCTGTCACGGAGATAGTGGGGGAGCTTTTGTTCGAGAACTCAGGAATTCTAAATGGGTCGTGATTGGAGTTGTCAGCTGGGGAAATGGCTGCGCACAAAAAGATCAGTATGGATACTATACCAGAGTGCATCCGTTCCTTGACTGGATTAAGGAAACTATGGAAACAGAAGACAGTAGTGAGTACTATATTTTAGAAATTACTTTTTAAATAAGGTTTTATTTGAACACAAATTTCTGGTCCTGGAATCTCTACACTTTTGACCATGTTTTATTCATTTTTTTTTCTTTCTCAAACTTTCAAACTTTCAATTTTCCTATCCTTTGACTTCGATTTCCTGACTAATCTATTCCTCAATTTTGTGGACCTGGAGGCTCTATAAAAATATGACACCCA